TTTGCATTGCTGTGACCAAAAGACCAAACTGCAGAAAACTTGAAATGGACCACCTTTTGACCCAACTATCCCACTGCTCTGTCTATACCCAAAGGACTTAAAATCAGCATATATAGTAATGCAGCCACATCAATGTTTATAGCAGCTCAACTCACAATAGTTAAACTGTGGAAGCAACCTAGATGTCCTTCAATAGATGAATACATAAAGAAAAGGTGGTATATATACACAATGGAATATTACTCAGCATTAAGAGAATAAAATTATGGCATTTGCAGGTAAAAGAATGAAGCTGGAGAATATCATGCTTAGTGAAGTAAGCCAATCCCTATTTTTTCTAGTGTTTTGAACATGAGGGGGTGCTATATTTTGCCAATTACTTTCTCTGCATCAATTGATATAATTATATAATTCTTTAAGTCTATTGATGTGATGAATTATATTTATTGATTTCCATCTGTTGAACCAACCTTGCATCCCTGGAATGAACCCCAGTTGATCATGGTGCACTATTTTTTAAATATGTTTTTTATGAGATTTGTCAGAATTTTACTGAGAATTTTTACAACTACGTTCATCAGGAATATTGACCTAAAATTTTCTTTTCTTGATATGTTTCTGCCTGGTTTTGGTTCAGGATGATACTAGCTTCATAGAATGAGTTTGGAAGGGTTTATTCCTTTTCTATTTCATGGGATAATTTGAGAAGTATTGGTACTAATTCTTTTTTTCAGGTCTTGTAGGACTCAGTTGTGAATCCATCTGGTCCTTCCTGGGCTTTTCATGGTTGGTAGGCTTTTGATGGTGTCTTATATTTCCTTGCTTGAAATTGATCTTTTTAAATTGTGTATGTCCACTTGACTCAGTTTGAATTGAGTTTGAAATGAGTTTGAACTCAGTTTGAAATATGCCTCTAGAAATTTGTTGGTGTCCTCAAGTTTTTCTATTTTACTGGAGTATAAATTTTCAAAATAGTTTCTAATTGTTCTCTGTATGTCAGTAGTGTCTGTTATGATATTTTCTTTTTCATCACAAATTTTAGTTTTCTCCCTCCTCCTTTTTATTAGAGTGGCTAATGATTTGTCAATATTATTTTTTTTTCAAAGAATCAGATTTTTGTTTTCTCAATTTTTGAGTTTTTTTTTGTTTCAATTTCTGCCCTGATTTTAATTATTTCCTGTCTTCCATTACTTTTGGGTTAGTTTGTTCTTCTTTTTCTATGGCTTTGAGCTGTAATGTTAGGTCGTTTGTTGACTTTTTCTTCTTTTTTTTTGTTTTTACATTTTTTTCTTCTTTATTTTAAAGAAAAGTTTATTGAAAATATGAAAAACAATTCCCAAAGATTGACTTTTCCAGAAAACTATAGCTATACATTGCATTGCATTCATCATATTAAAACATACATTAGCCACAAATACAAAAATTATTAAGAAGCTACCACTGTTCAACAATTTGAGCAACAAGAAAGTAACAACATGATGACCTGCAAAGGATGGGCTACTTAAGTACCTTCTAAAATTTGTCCTTTTTAGTTATACATGACAGTACTTTGACATATTATACATACATGGAATATAACTTCCCATTCTTGTGGTTGTACATGATATGGAGTTACTCTGGTCATGTATTCATATATGAACATAGGAAAGTTCTGTCCGATGCATTCTACTGTCTTTCTGTTTTCCATCTTCCCTCCCTTCCCTTCATTCCCCTTTGTCTAATCCAATGAACATCTATTCTTCCCCACATTGTGTGTTAGCATCTGCATATTAGAGAAAACATTCAGCCTTTAGATTTTTGGGATTGACTTATTTCACTTACTATGATAGTCTCCAGTTCCATCCATTTACTGGCAAATTCCATAATTTAATTCTTTATAGCTGAGTAATATTCCACTGTGTATACACGCAACATTTTCTTTATTCATTATTCTGTTGAAGAGCATCTAGTCTAGTTCCATAGCTTAGCTATTTTGAATTGAGCTCCCATAAATATTGACATGGTTGCATCCCTATAGTATGCTTAAGTCCTTTGGGTATGAAACTGCAAACTGGTGTAATCACTATGGAAATCAGTATGGAGATTCCTCAGGAAACTTAGAATGGAACCACCATTTGACCCAGTTATCCTACTCTTTGGTTTATACCCAAAGGACTTTTTCTTCTTTTAATAAATGAACTCCATGCAGTGAACTTTCCTCTTAGTACTGCCTTCATAATGTCCCAAAGATTTTGGTAAGTTATATTGGAGTTCTCATTTACCTCTAAGAATTTCCCTGATGTCTTCTGTTATCCATGTGTCATTTAGTAGCATATTGTTTAGTCTCTAGGTGTTGGAGTATCTTCTATTTTTAATTTTATCACTGATTTCTAATTTCATTCCATTATGGTCAGATAGAATGCAGGGTAGTATCTTTATATTTTTTTTTTTGTATTTGCTAAGACTTTCTTTGTGGCATAATGTATGGTATATCTTGGAGAAGCATCCATGTGCTTTTGAGAAGAAAGTGTATTTGCTCAGTGATGGATGGGATATTCTATATATGTCTGTTAAGTCCAAATTATTGATTGTATTTTTGAGTTCTATAGTTTATTTGTTTAGTTTTTGTTTGGAAGATCTATCCAGTGGTGAGAGAGGTGTATTAAAGTCACCCAATATTACTGTGTTTTGGTCTATTTGGTTCTTGTTGTTGAGAAGGGTTTGTTTGACATACATAAGATGCCCCATTGTTTGGGGCGTAGATATTTATAATTGTTATGTCTTGTTGATGTATGAATCCCTTAAGCAGTATGAAATGTCCTTCTTTATCCTTTTTCACTAGCTTTGGTTTGAAGTTCACTTTATCTGATATGAGGATGGAAACCCCTGCTTGTTTACATGGTCCCTGTGAATACTATGTTTTTTCCCACCATTTCACCTTCAGTCTGTGGATGTCTTTTCCTGTGAGATGAGTCTCTTGAAGGCAACATATTCTTGGGTCTTTTTCTTTTAATCCAATCTGTCAGTCTATGTCTTTTAATTGATAAGTTTAGGCCATTCACATTCAGGATTATTATTGAAATATGATTTGTATTCCTGGACATTTTGGTTTATTTTTGTTTTTGAACTTGACTTGGTTTCTCCTTTGATTGGCCTTTCCTTTAGTGTAGTTCCTCCCTTTGCTTATTTTCATTCCTCCTCCTGGAATATTTTGCTGAGGATACTCTGTAGTACAGGCTTTCTCGCTGTATTCTTTTAACTTTTGTTTATCATGAAAGGTTTGTATTTCATCATCAAATCTGAAGCTTAATTTTGCTGGATATAAGATTCTTGGTTGGCATCCATTTTCTTTCAGAGCTTAGCATATGTTGTTCCAGGATCTCCTGGTTTTGAGGATCTGGGTTGAAAAATCTGCTTAGATACGAATTAGTCTCCCCCCATATATGATCTGATTCCTCTCTCTTGCAGCCTATAAGATTTTATCCTTATTCTGTATGCTAGGCATTTTAATTATATTGCACCTTGGTGTAGATCTGTTGTAATTTTGTACATTTGGTGTCCTGTAAGCCTTTTTTGTATTTGATTTTCCAATTCATTCTTCATGTTTGGGAAATTTAATGACATTATTTGATTAAAGAGATTTTGCATTCCTTTATTTTGAATCTCTGTGCCTTCCTCTATCCCAGTAAATCTTAGATTTGGTCTTTTGATGCTATCACATAATTTTTGGATTTTCTGTTCATGGTTTCTTACCATCTTCACTGTGTGATCAACTTTATTTTCCAGATTGTATACTTTGTCTTCATTATCTGACATACATTGTCTTTCGAGTGATCTAGTCTGTTGGTGATGATTTCTATTGAGTTTTTAAATTTGGTTTATTGTTTCCTTCATTTCAAGGATTTCCGATTGTTTTTATTTTATTTTTTTTTCAAAATCTCTCTCTCTTTTTTGAAGTAATCATTTGCTACCTGTATTTGCTCCCTTATTTCTTTGTTGATGTGATCAACAGTTGCCTGTGTTTACTCTCTTATCTCTTTGTTGGAGGCATCAATTTTTTCCTGTGTTTCCTCATTTAGGTTTTTCTTTAATTCACAGATCATTTTAATTATGTATATTCTGAACTCCTTCTCTGACATTTCATCAATTGCGCTGTCCATGGATTCTATTATTGTGGTATCCATGTTTGTTTGGGGCATTTTTTTCCCTTGTTTTTCATGTTGTCTGTGTGTCTTCCTTTCTTACAGTGCAGATCTGAGGTATTACAGTTTCTACCCTATAATCTTGTAGTGTTTGTGCAGATTATCTGTACCTCACCTTGGTGTTAGACTTCCAGTCCCTGCTGGTGTCTCATAATGGATGCTACTGCAAGTAAAGGTCATGCAATAGTGGAGGTAACTCAAGATAGTAGTGGGGGTGTCCCAAGATGGATGCAACCACTTTCAGAGATGGGGCTAAAGGGGTGGACCTTACAATGGCTTTGGGCTGCCTGTTCTGAGATGCAACTGCTTCTAGGCCCTCTCTCTTATTGCAAGGTGTAGGCTACTGTGTAGGGAGGGCTATGGAGATGGCTGCAGTGTCCTAAGATGGAGGTAGTCTAGGCCTGGGCTCCCAGGTAAGCCCACGGGGTGATGCTGGGCCTGACCTGGGCCTGGGCTCTCACGTGGGTCTCTGAACATTCTTGCATTTCCTCATACATGAGCTTTTGGGGCACACATCATATGCAAATCACAATAATCTTCTCCCTTTTCTTTCAAACCTCTTCTAATAAGAGTAGGCGAACCCATATCTCAGTTTTCTTTGTTGTGTGTTTGGGTGTGGTAGGATTTATATGTATGTTTATTTGTCTGAGCTGAATGATGGGTGCAAAGATGCAAGACTGGAGAATTTTTCAGAGACAGCTAAAAGATTCTATGTGAGAGAAGGAACTGTAGGGAAGATCTATGGATATGAAGAGGCTGGAACACATGAGGTAGAAGGGTGTGGTAACAGAAGAGTAGTGGAGGACATGAAGTGCTAAAATGAACCTTGAAGAATTTGGAGACAAGAAGTTCTTGTGGAAATTTTTATGTTCTGTGTATTTTGCTGATGATGTTTTGCCAAATGATGTAGGTTAAGGCTTTCTACTTAATTCCTTACCAACACATGAGTAAAATCAAATCTTATCCTCTAAGATCTCATGGCACTGTTATTATAAAGGTAGTCTTTCTTCAGGGTGGACACAGACAACAGTCAGCATACTTTATGGTATCTGAGTATTTTCAGGGGTCCACAGAGTCTATCAACAACATAATATTTAATGTAACAGATTGACAATGTTCTTGATTGCATTGTATGTATGTGTGTATGAAAATGTTAAAATGTTAGGTGAACATTGAAGACCATTCAGGAACAATGTGTTAATGTTTTATTTTTCATGCTCTGAGAAATGTAGCAGATCCTTTGTGTATACACATCAGGGTTGGGGAGGAGGATGGCTGTTACATCTTGTGGCTATATCAGGGGGATGGCTCAGTAGAGCCTGTGGAAAGAAAAGTCCCTATTGGAGCAACTAGTTCATGAACCAAAGGCTCTAGGAGCACTTCACCCTACTTGATGGAGGAGCCCCGTAGTCAAGATATAACTTCCTTATTAATAACCAATTTTCCCCCCAGAAGCTTCTTATTAAAAATCAAAAAACTCTTCTGTCAAACCTTCCACCAAGCCTCAAAACTACTGATTTTTCAGTTGACACTTTTGTAAGGATTTCCTGACAGTCAGCTACAAGGAAAGGTTCCAAGAGGCTGGTGCTGGGAAGTAAAGCTGACTCTTGGGACAGATGGCCTTACCAGTTGGCCAAGAGCTGGCGTAGGGTACTTAACTCAGCTGGTCTTCAGGTGCCTGCCCAGAGGCAGTGGTGCAGCCTGTGCACAGCTCACCCTGGAGCTTCCCCCTCTGCTCCACATTTGTTCACTGTGACACTATTTACACCTTTCGGAGCTTCACTCTCTGTCACCTTAATGAGGGTGTGTGTGAGTGTGGGTGTGTGTAAGCCTTTAAAAAAAAAAAAAAACAGCCCCTTTGAAAAGACATTTGAGATGATTTCTAATGCACCATAGTGCTTTTTCTTTAAAAATATATATTTATTGAGATAAAATTTGCATGTAATTTTCCCATTAAGGTGTATAATTAAATGTTTGTTAGTAAAATCACAAATGTATGCAAGTGTCATCACAGTCAAGTTTAGAACATTTCAATCATCAAAAAGAGAAACTCTAGGAGAGGAAAGGGGAGAGGTGAGAATGGAGGAAACCCAGGGTTACTGGCGAGGGAGACTTGAGAGGCCAGAGCTTCCTGACTGAGAAGGGAAGGGAAGAGGCTGAGATTGAGAGAAGGGAAAAAGGCTCGGGAAACAACTGTTCCTTCAGAGTTGGCACTGCAAAACTCCAGCACAGGTTTCAGCAACTACAGCATCTGGTCCACCCAGATTTCTTCAGCCAGAGATCTCAGACTGAAAAGGACTTCTCAGAGAAGCATTCAATCCTGGTGTATGATGCCTATAACACCCTTCTGGCCACCCTGAGCAGGGGACTATATTGTAAGCTAAAGCTTCATGGGATAGAGATTCCTGAAGGGACAGATTATGAAATGGATAGTCAATTCCTCATGAAAATAATGGAAATCAATGAAAAACTTGCAGAAGCTCAAAGTGAAGCTGCCGTGAAAGAAATTGAATCCACTGTACAAGCTAAACAGAAAGAATGTACTGACAACGCGAGCAGAGCTTTTGAACAAGATGACTTTGAAAAAGCCAAGGAAACTTTAACAAAGATGAAATACTTTTCAAATGTAGAAGAAAAGATCAAGTTAAAGATGACTCCCTCTAGTTAATTACTTATTTAAAGTTTTAAAAATAAATTTCCTGTATTCAAAAAAAAAAAAGAGAGAAACTCTGTATCATTTAACTGTTACTTCCAATTAACCTATCATTAAGCAACTTGTGTACTTAAGATTTATCTATACTGAAGATTTCATAAATGAAATCACATAATAGGTCATCTTTTGTGGCTGGCTTCCTTCACTTAGCACAATATTTCTAAGATGTAGCTATCCTTCAGTGTCATTACTTACTTTTTATGAGTGAATAATATTCTAATGTATAGATCTACCACATTTAAAAAAATTTATTTGGTATATATTTCTAGGAGTGGAATCATTGGATCACATGGTTATTCTATGTTTAAATCTTCAAGGAACTACCAAACTGCTGTCCATAGTGGAAGTACCATTTTGTATTCCCATCTGCAAAGTGTGTGGATTCCAATTTCTGTACACCTTCATGTAAAGTGATTAACTTATATCCATATCCCTAGCCTGTTGAGTGTTTATATCATTCAAGGATGTTAGATATTCTCAAATGATTTTTCTGCATTTATTGAGATGATTATGTTATGTATTTTTCTTTTTATGCTATTGATGTAGCATATTATGACTATTACTTCAACTTTATATATTGGGAAGGATCTCATTTAGCCATGATGTATGAATGAGCTATGTTTTTTTTTTTTTCTTAATTTTCATTTTGCTGGGTTCATTTTGCTGGCATTTTGTTGGGATATCGTGTCTGTATTCATAGGTGATATTGATCTGTAGTTTTCCTTTCTTGTGATGTCTTGACTAGTTCTGGTATCGTGCTAAGATTAGCTTCACGGAATAAATTGTGTAATATCCTTCCTCTTCTGTATTTTGGAAGAATTGTGAAGAATTGATATTGTTTCTTTTAATGTTTAGTAGCATTCACTACATAAGCCTGTGCTAGTAGTATGCTTTTCTTTGTGGTATTTTTTAAAACTATTAATTTAATCATTTTTATAGGTCCATTCATATTATGTATTTCTTCTTGAGTTGGTTTTTATAGCTTTCTAAGAAATTTTTTCCTTTAAATTTAAGTTTTCTAATTTAGTAGCATGCAATTGACCATAATATTAGTTTATAGTTTGTTTTTTTAAAGGTAAATAGTAATCCTGCCCCTTCTTTTATTTCTGATATCAGCAATTTGTCTTTTCTCTTTATAGCGTGGTCAATATGAAAGTTTTACAATTTTCTTGACCTATCCAAAATAATTGATTTCATTGATTTTCTATACCATATGTCTACTTCCTATTTCACTGATTTCTACTCCTTATTGGTTTTGTTTTTTTTCCTGCTTTAGGGGTAGCTTGCTCTTTGTTTCCCAGTGATTCATGTCAAAAGTTAGGTTATTAATTTGAGACAAATTTCATTGATAATATAGGCATTTAAAGTAATAAATTTCCCACTAAAACATATTTCAGCTGCATTCCATATATTTAATAATGCTTCATCTTCACTCCCATGTGTTACAAACTAGGTTTTTATTTATTTATTTTTTATTGGTTGTTCAAAACCTTACAAAGCTCTTGACATATCATATTTCATACATTAGATTCAAGTGGGTTTTGATTTCTTTGACTCATTGATTAATTAGAAGGGTGTTGTTTAATTTCCAAATACTTGTGAGCTCCCCGAAATTCTAATTTAATTGCATTGTAGTTGCAGAACAACTCTATTACTTTTATGCTTTTAAATTTACTGAGGTTTGTTTTATGCTTTACCTAGTTCTGTGTGCACTTGAGTAGAATGTATATTCTGGTAATGACGGGTAGAAGTCTGTTAGAGCTAATTGGTTTATAGTGCTGCCCAAGTCTTTAATTTCCTTGTTGAATTTCTGCCTCGTATAATGGGAGGTATTATAGTCTTCAAATAATTGTTTTTGCATTATCTATTTCTCTCTTCAGTTGTCAGCTTTTAATTCATTTATTTTGCTACTGTGCTATTAGGCAAGTATATGTTTATGGCTATTATGTATTCCTAATTAACAGACCCTTTATCATTAGAAGATATCTCTATCTAGTAACATATTTTGTTTTATACTCTCATTTATGGGTAGTCTGTAAGGCCACCCAGATTTCTTTTAGTTCTTGCTTATGTAGTATATATTTTTCATATGCTTACTTTCATTTTATTTTTATCTTTGTTTCTAAACTGTGCTTACAATATAGTTCAATATGTTGTAATTTAGTCTGAAAATTTCTGCTCCTTGATTGGGTCGTTTAATCTATTTTAATTAATGTGCCATTATTTAATCTATTTAATATTTATATTATGATATGTATGTAATTTATATCTTCTTTTTCCTTGTTTGTGTTGTCTCATGTCTTTCTTGTTTCCTGCTCCTCCTTTGCAGTCTTTTTTTACATTAAGAGAATATTTGCTAATGTCACATTTTAATTTGTTTTATATTTTAACTATATTTTTGTTATGTCTTTAGTGGTTGCTATAAGGCTTTATAATAAATATCCTAAATTATGAGAATTAGCTTCATATTTGTCTTAATTCCAGTGAAATATAGAACTATTACCGCTTCCTACCACTATTCTCTGTCCCTCCCTTTTTGGTATTATTGTTATACATATTATCTATTAATGTCATAAACCCAATAATACATTGTTACAATTATTTTAAATTTATTTTTAATTGGCATAATTAATTTAGATGATACCTCTTTTAAAGAAATGGAAAAAAAGAACAATTATATATTTAAAAGTTTTGCCATGTTAACCTTCTTAACATTTCTAGTTCTTTTCACTTGTTCTTGTGAATTTGAATTACCACTTGGAGTCATTTCTTTAGCCAAATACAGCTTCACTCCCATTCATCTCCTTTGTACTTTTATTTACAAATATCACATATTTCTGTTTTACATACCCAATAAAACATAATGTACATACTTTTTATATAATTGCCTGTTAATCAGTTAACAGCAGAAAGAAAAGTGTTATGTATGTATGTTCATTTTTGTAATTACATAATTTTTTTCTCCTGTGCTGTCCTCTCTCTCTCTCTCTCTCTCTCTCTCTCTCTCTCTCTCTCTCTCTTTCTCTCTCTCTCTCTCTCTCTCTCTCTCTCTCTCTCTCTCTCTCTCTGTGTGTGTATTTGAATTATTTTTGAGTTTCAGGCTAAAAAACTTCCTTGAGGATTTCTTATAAGAAAGGTCATCTAGCAAAAGATTCTCACAGTTCTTTTTTATCTGGGAATGTCACTTTTAAAGATAGCTTTGCTGGGATATTGGATTGTAGTTGGCTTTAAATATGTTATTACATCCTGGCCTCCATTGTTTCAGCTGAGAAGCTAGCTATTCATTTTATTTGGCTTCCCTTGTAATTAATAAGTAATTTTTTTTTCTTTCTGATTTCAAGATTTTTTTTCCCTGTCTTTGTCTCTTAACTTACTATGTATGATCTGTTTGTTGATGAACACTGCATTTATCCTATTTCAAGTTCATTGAGCTTCTGGGTAAGATATTAATAAATTTTGGGAAGTTTGCAATTATTGATTTTGGGATTTTTTTTCTGTTTCTTTTCCTCTTTATTCTTCTTCACATTAGGTGTAAGCTTTTGTGCTTTGTGGTATATCTCATTTCTCTTAAACTGTTTAATCTTCATTTTTTCCACTCTGTTCTTCAGTTTGTGTTTTCACAAACTGAAGTTTATTAATTCTTTCTTCTGCCTCTTCAAATCTGTTATTGGGACCCTCTAATGAAATTTTCATTTCAATTGTTATACTTTTCAATTCTAGACTTTCCGTTGGTCCTTTTTATTTAATTTCTGTTTCCTTATTGATATTCTTAATTTGTGATGACATTATTATCACATTAAAATTTTTTTTGTCATGTTTCCTTTAGTTTCTTTGAATAATAAAATTTTTGTAAAATTTGTTCTCTGTTTGATCTCACAGGTAATTTCTTTTCAGAGTGTATGGTAGTACTTCCTACTTCTTTGCATGTCTCATAATCTTTCTTTGAAAACTAGACATTTTACATTATATATTGTAGCTGTTCTGAGTACTGTTTCTCCTCATCTTAGCCTTCTTGTTATTTGCTTATTTATTTATTTAGTGAGTGGCTGGATCATTGCAGTGAAATTCACTTCCCTGGTATTAAGCCTCTGATGTTGTTCCTTTGGAAGGTACAACCACATACAACCTAGAATGATGATGATTTTGGCAGGGCTTTTTCCCCTGACTACATAAAACCATTAAGCTGTCAAGTTCCATTAATTGCCACCTTATTGCTGAATTGGTTCTAACAATACTCTGGGTCCTAAATTACTCCATAGACTAGGTCTTCAGTATTCTCAGTGGAATCATGTACAAGATAGAGCCTCTGCACCACCAGTGGGGACTGGGCAGAAAAAGGGTAGCCCCGCTCTTTCAGAGGTACTTTCCTGGAGCTTAGTCTCAACAATAGATAACTAGACAGGATGAGAAATGCTGATATCCTGCCCCTTCCAGGAAGATAGAACACTGACTGGTGGCAAAGGGCAAAGATAGTTATAGATTTGGCCTCCCTCAGTTTGGAGTTTCCATCTCACCAAGTTGAGAATCTCTAGTTTTGAGAATACTCAAAGGCTTGAACTTCTACACATTCTATTTCAACTAAATTCAGTTTCTCTGGGAAGAGATTAGGAGCTATCTACTTTAAAGCCTGCTTCTACCCTGCTGTTCTTTGAATATGGGTGCCAAAGTTTTAAGTGCTAGAAGTTTGGTGTCTCCAGTGTGGTAGTACTGAAGTGGTGGAATGTTTAGGAGATAAAACCTAGAGGAGGGTAATTAGATCATGGGCTCCACCTTTAGGAATAGATCAAGAATAGATTGGTCCAATTAGAGTGGATTAATTCCCATTAGAGCAAGTTCTTATGAAAAGAATAAATATGGCCTCTTCTAGCATGCTACAGGGACACTGCTACATCGATGTTCATAGCAGCACAATTCACAATAGCAAGACTGTGGAACCAACCTAGATGCCCTTCAAT